TTGCGGGCAATAAGGCACTGGCTGGGGCCTACCAATAAATTGCGAAAATGCGGGAGTTAGTAATCACACACATTAACTACTTACTATTTAAAAGTAGCCAATATAAAATAGCACTAACTTGAAAGCTTTTATTATGTGGCCGCTGGATATCACAAATGGGTGCCCTCGATCCGGACTCCGCATGCTCTTCATATTTATGTCTAAACCAACAAACAAAATATTAATACATTAAGCTTATTTATTAATGTAGTAAGTGAGACAGAACCTGCAAACGAGAACCACAATGCCAAACTATCTAGGGTATCTTGGGGTGTGATAGACTTACCTCCACGTGGTGCACCCTGGCAATGTATACTCATACGGCAAAAAAGTCTGTTAACCGAGAGTTGACTTCTGACTTCAAACTACCATCACCCCACTGTATGCCATATTCGACTACTTCCTCAGTACTCACCTCACCCTTTCTCTACCTTTTTGCCTTTCTCTTTTACATCTTTGAAACACTCTTCTGTTCCCCCCCCCCTCTCGACTTTTTTTCGTTTTGATGTTCCTTCCCCTCTGAGAAGCCTGAAGTCAACTAAAGAGCTAATGATAATTATCAAAACGCCTGCCATTTATATAAATAAATCTGGGGTATCTTCACTAGTGGGTAGGCAAAAGAAGTGACCAACTACGTTTTCCCTGTCTCTTCGAATAAAATTGTTTATTTTCGATGTCATATTTTGTAAAGTGAAAGCTTGGTCAGCCTAATTGTTTGCCCTTTAAGCGGATGGGGTTTAAAGAACTTTAAAAACAACAAAATGTTGACTCTGAAACAACACAACTTTGCATGTTCTTTGAGATTTAATAATTTCTACTAAATATGAACGTTTAAACCCTATATGTTTCTCCATTTACCAGGAGATACTTGTACTAAGAGCTAAAAGACTGATGTGGCGATTCAGATGGAGTCTAACCTTTTAGATCACATATGCGAAGTCATTGTCCACTCTCCAATTGAAACATTGTCAAAACGGTAGTGGAATTTTACCTCTCAGCTTTGAATAAGTAAAAGATCTTCGTCAGAGAAGCAAGGCATAAAACTAGATGCTGTTAAGATGACTTTCAAGTGCAGTTAAAAATTGTTTAAATCATAACGCTAAATCGAAATCACATGAAATGGCTTGGTATATTTGACAATGCATAGAATAAGGAACTGGGGAAAAAATCTCTCAGAGGCCACTACCTAAGCAATGATTGGCAACTCTATCGTCGACAAAATTCGATTTTAATTTTACACAACGCATTTCTAATAAATATCTCCCAACAAGATGAGTCATGTTTATCGATTTAGTAGACAACAAGATATTTGTGAAAATTGTAGCGAATTGCCACAGGAATAAGCCTAGATATATAGTGAGTATAGAGTTTATTGAAATCATACTCACAGCAAACATGACTCATAAGTTAATATATTTAACATGACTTAATAGCTGATTAGCTTAGAAGTCCCCTGCACGCACGATCGTACCCTACAGAATATTCGGGTGCACAGTACAATCGCGTTGGGATTGCGTACTCCGCAATACAGATACCAATCAGAGTCAAGCAAAAGTACAAGTAGTTAATGGGTCAACAAGATTAGCTAATTTAACTGATGGAACAAAAATAATGTAACTTAGGCTGAACTTACCTCTCATATTGTTCGAAGTTTGAATAAACCACGTCTGATGTGAGACAAAGGCCACAGCGCCTTTCAAAATAAATACCCTCAGAAGGAAATCCGAAGTCTTTGAGAATAGGGGAATCCTCGATAGAGGAATAAACAGTGGAACAGGGGAGATTGTTACGGCCCCACTTGAAACACTCATGAGCTAAAAGGAGAGCGTGATTCCGAAAAATGCCATGACAACGACGACAAACGGAAGAAATGGTTGATTGGGAATGTCCAGTGTGGAGATGGTTGGAGAAGATTGTCCAATTAGAGAATTTGAGTTCACAGACGGGACAAGCAAGGGCCAATAGGGGTTTGGTGGGAATGTTATTTGAAGTAATCGGACGCCGCCGTTGCGAGTTCAAAGGAAGCTTTCTTTGAGACGTTCTAATAGGGGGTGTGTCCGTGGTTGACTGAAGAAGGTAATTGAATGAAACTTCATAAAGAACGTTTACCTGAATAATTTTTGGTTGATTGCTTTCTTCACCATTACATGAACTCTCCGAACAAATAGCCTCGGTTTGGTCAACAGATTTCTTAATTTTATTCAAAAGCACCTGCCGTTCAGTTGCTGGCAAGCTAGCAACTTTCGACATAATAGACTCAATCTACAAAATTGCTTTTGTTGTAATTAAATTAACCTGCTGATTTATTTCGTCCATTTTATACAAATGACGTTATGTCTTAGGGAAGCGTATAAAATACCTATGTTTACTCCAAAGTATTCACAAAATAGTCATGCAGTCATTTAACCAATAGAAACGCATTTACGACTGAATAAGTGAGTTAAAGCAAATGAATTACAAGCTTAAATCGCCTTGTCGTCAATCAAGGTTAAATAAACAGCTATTTCGACCCGCTTGAAATGTATTTGCAAAATACGGCTACGTTGACTGAAAATTCCCACCATTTAAGTTTAAAAAATATATATATAATAAATACTTTTTTGTGAGCATAATTACACTAAACTTGCATTCTAAATTATCGATTGATATATACATGGATATTTTCATATATCTTTGCAGATCCGCTAAATGAAATTATTTAGATAATTCGACGTTATCATTGGGTCTATTTGTTTAGTTCGACGTTGTTTAACTGTGCCTATTATGAGAAATATCCGAAATGTCATGTGTTTGTAATTCATTTAATATTGATATAGAGTCTCCATTGATTTATTATTTGTAATATGCTTGATTTATAAATAAAAGGGTTACTTATTGAGAATGAACCTGTGTATATCATTGCGCATATATATTCTTGTAATTTCTAAAATCTTATCCCCTCCTCATTACTTAACTGCAACAGAGAAGCCACTCTCTAAAAGTCAATTTTAATTCCTCATCAAAGTAGAAGTAAATAGAATGAAGCCACCGCACGCTTAGTGGAGCAGCGAAATTGGATGAGGCCTAATTGAGCGTATTTTAAATAAATCACCATGGGTTTGGAAATTTCAGTTCAAAACAACCAAATCAATTTTTGATGTATTTATAACCCACCCAATTTTAACCGTTTATTTTAAGTAATTACATTTTTACTCTAATAGAGTCATCATAATAATTTTTTTGAATTTTAATCTTATAAATGGATTTTTTGTCAATGCATTAAATCATTAATATTTTTTGATGCACGATGTTCAGGATAAATTTTAAGGAACTGTATTTGGCCACTTTTCCGATTGTTTTTAAAGGGATCCATGTTCACTAAACTTTCTTCGAAATTAAAACCCTTCTTCATTTATACTCGTGTTGGCAACGATAACAAATGACGGAAGCCAAGCAGAATCCTGAAACGAAATAACTTGTATCATGATGATTGACGAAGGCCATAGAAATAATAAGGTAATAAACACTGCTCAATGTTCCAACAACGGTATGGAAAGAATGCTTCGTGAACTGGAACATTACGATGAAAAAAAAGGAGTGTGATGTGACCAGAAGAAAGCAGAAATAGTTATTCTGTTTGTGATCCTTCAAAAATGTACTACAGAGAAAGCCGATGGAGACAACTTGGATCACAAATGCTGTTTCATCTCTACAAATGATAATAAATCTTGGTTTTTACCAGGAAGTATACACTCGATAAAGATCTTCGTTAACACTCACACATTCAAGATTCGCAGAGTTCACCGAAAATGGCGCAGCAAAATAAAAGAAAAATTTTGAGCAAAATGAAGTAAAAGATCTGTTGTTTTTTAAATAAGAAAAAATTTATCAAGATCAAAAGTACAAAATCGAAAATAGCTATTTAGCATGAATGCGATCCAAAAAATTGCCCTCCTCGTGCACCAAATTTTTCTAACTAATTATTTTCCTTCTCCCCAACACATTCGCTTATGGATGGCATTGGGTTTAATCAAGTGCTTGAATGGAATTACTGTCAACTGTAAATTTTGACATTGGATAACGAACGAGGGTTGGCCAATTATGGAACAAACCTGTTGCAACAGCAACACTCGGCAACCATTCAATACCATAATAAAAAGTTCAGCCTCCAAAGTCCTCCGCTTTTGACCTTTTCCTTACAACCATTAAATATCTAATCTCTGTCAAAAAAAACTAATCGTCCTAACAAGTTTTCTCAAGGGCATATATAATAGACAGAGAACGTCCAACGGAAAACGAAAAATAAAATTTATCTCAAGCCTTGGACAGATTGAGTCTGTACTATTCGCTAATGGCAGATTTTACTTAAGACACTTTAATGTAATGTAATTGCATGGACTACTGGAGTTTTTGTCATTAAACTTTATATGTAATTGTTAAACGTTTCGCCCTTTTCCTGGGTGGGAATATCAAACTTATCCCGAACACGGTGCATATTGAACTATGTCCATTGCGGATATTCAAAAACTGACAATCAAGTAACTAAATAAAAATCTGGCACTGATTTTCAAAAGCCCAAACTATATATGCGCATCAGGTGCAAATATGCGAGCAAAAATGGGAAGCGTCTTGCAATTTGATTGGTGAAAGTGTACTATTCATATAATCGCAACATTTTAGAAATACATATCACAGTGCTTATTACATTCATTACGGTATACCCACGAAATCGGTTTCAAACTTGGGCTTATAATAGTTAATTGGTTGTAAATAGTTAAACTTATCCTCTTTAAGTACGTAGGAAGATTGTGTTGGAGAAATATATGTGTATCTTTCATTCAAAATATCAATTCAGTAAGAAGTACAAAGGTAAGTAATCAGGACATCGGAAATACGATGATAAAACTGACACATTTTATTTTATGGCAGTATGAAATGTAGTCGAACACCAATTCCTTTAAATAACTCCACTTTATCCAAGTGTTTTTTCGAGATATCAACATCTTAAGAATTTAAATAACAAATAAAAAATAGTTTTAACTGGTTTTTATGTGGGTGGTTAATTAAGTTGAAATTTTTAGCCTGACCTTCAACTCTCATCCAAATTTCGTGAAGTCTGTACTCTCATATGGCGGGCTTGACCGATATAATCTGGTCACCGAATCATGAAGATACATTTTGTGTCATTTTTAGAAATACTATTTTTCTATTAAAAGTTAGTGACTATGACGGATCGATTCCCGAATCTGGCAGCAAAGGTGAGATTTTTTCTCAATGACCGAATGACAACTCTAGTTCAAGTAATTGGCGATAAGTACAAATTCAAGTTAACATTAATAAGCACAAATACAGAACAGGATGGTGTCAAAGTAAGTACTCTAGATCTTCATTTCCTATCCACTAGGCTTTTGCTTGGAGACCTAGTCTTAATATAACAGCTGAAGGTCCCGTTATTCCTCCCTATTTGATCGCCATGGGCCTCTCATCTGGCGTCGTCAAATTGACAAGGTATACTTCATTCGATTCCTATTTTATTTTTGTAGCCTTCGAGATGTCGATCCACTTCAGGATCACTTTTCTCTCAATCGGAAGGAATTAAGTAAATATGAAATTCCTCAAATTGCCCCTCTTAGTTTCACATTCGAACAAATTTAGCATTTTTTTACATTGGAATCCATGGAGGACGAGCCTCGTAAGTTTTTGATCTTGGGATAATGATACTCATTATTCTGCTCTGTATTCTCATAGAGTTAGTTTCATTGCCGTCTAGTTAGCGCAAGGAATTGATCGCGGAAAACATAATCGAACGCCCTCAGTTCTTGTTTGGGATGTCATTCGAGAAACATGTGCTAAAGACCAATCCGATGCAAAACCCAGCACCGAGTTTTCCAACGCACTTCCTCCCAACTCTCTCTATAACATGGGCAAAATTTCAAGTGAAGTTTCCGCGAAAGGAAAAGACACCCAGTCCTTCTGTGATCGACCTCTCTGTGATGCTTGTAAGATAAGGTCATACTTTATATATATTCCAGGCCTATTGAGTGTATCGCACTAATATTTCTTTCTAGGCTTGAATGAAAACGTAATTTCTTTTGCTTGGGTCTTGAAAAATTCCTTCGTTGTTGGTCTCGCAACAAAGCATATAAAGCTCTACGATATCTCTGGTAACTCATTTGGAAATGAAATATTTTGTCGCTTTGACGTTCTTCTGTATGTCTGTGCCTCAGTTGTCTGCTCACTTTCATGTACTTTTTGATCATTTTTTACCAATTTTCTACCCTTTTAGCAATTTATCATGCTTATGTTTTAGATCCCATAAGAGGTACATTTTTGCTCTTGACTATAGTTTGCTCTATTAGCATTCGATTGAGGTGTTGTTTTTGCATTTTTTTGTGGTTTTATTTAAATGTGCACAGAGTGAGAGACGAAGGCCATGTTTTACACTGTTTTTAGGGAAAGATCGTTAATCTATTGTGTTAGATTTCGAAAAAGTACATAGTATCTCTTCTACTGACGTTTGAAGTGTCTATTTGCTCAGATTGGAACATTTACTTAATGAATGCCGTTTATATTTTTGCCAGAATCATATCACTTTATGGCATAATCTGTCTTATTTACATTTATTTGCAGATACGGCTAAAACTATTCAGATGACTCAGACTAAAATGGTGCACGGCTTAACCTCCGATCCCCTTTTTTCCTCCAGATTCGCTTCCTTCTCTCATGTAAGTGATTTCTTGCTCAAAGTATGTTAAACCAATGGCTATCTTTAGTGGTTAAATGGGGAATGTGAGTTTGCCCTCTAAATGCACTTCTGGGTACTAGTTCTCTGCTTAAGACGAGTGTCAGAAAAAAAACCATTAACAATTTTTATTTCTGCTTTTATTCGTCCTACCTTACACTAACTAGGATGTTGAATTGAATGTCTGTCCTTGCCTTTTAGAATCAAATTGCTCTATGGACTGCTGAAAATCTCGAGAAACCGGTATTGTCATCTTATAAAAAATTACTTACTTCGCTATTCCATTTAACTATATATTGCCTTTCTGCAGATTTATGTATTTACCGCTAAGAAGATGGTTGTCTGCATGAAATGGAGTCCTCTGAGGTGGGTACTTATTGGTAACCAAAGGCAACGTCTTCGGGACTAAATATATACTATTAATTTCCCTGTTAATGGTCTTTCACTTAGGTGTATTCCTATTGCCCCCTTTGAAGAGATAGAATTTTAATCAGAACCTTCATTAAGTATATTGGATATAACCAAAAAGTAAGTTGGTCCAATCTCATTAAAGAAATGAGTCATCGACCTCGCTTTTCGGCTTTCCAATTTGCTATTGTTCAAACTACGATGTCGCCACATTATTATCGACTACTTACTGGTCAGCATTGGAGATCTTTTGTCATCTGCACGGCATAGTTTTACCTTCTAAGTACCATTTGTTATCACTTTTTGTTGATAGATCTTAAGCGAATTGGCCGTAACAGGTGGTGGTTTGTAAGAGTTTTTATGCAATAAAGAAAAAAACACGCATTCTTACACTTTGTGATAAGTTAATCGAGTACATTTAAAATCCATATTGGCACGATATACGCACCCTTTTTTAATATTTTCTTAAATGGGGCAAGTGGATGTCTGTTCTTTTTTGCATTTTAGGGAGGGTTGGTTGGGCGTTTTACTTGCTAATTCAAAGGATATAAAGATCTACAATACCTTTTTACCCTTCTCACGGCCCATGGAGGAGTCTGAACAGTTCCTCTTTGAACTGCGAGCTACTACCTGTAAGTCCTTATTCTCTATTCCCTTAAATTATATCTAATGACTGTTTAAAAGTTGTTTTATACCCGTCTTCCAACTCTAAAATTCACTTGAAATGAGTCAACCTACACAAGTTCATAGAGTTTTATTGAGCGCCCTATACCATATGGTCTTGCATTTCATTGATGCTTGTCGGGCAATCCGAATCAATCGGAATTTTCAAATTTTAATACACCTTTTTCTGTTTAACAACTATACTACTGCACTTTACATTTAGGCCGTAGATGTATGTCATTCTTTGGAAAACTTACACCCATTGTAATTTTTCTTAATATAATTTCAATCGTATTATAATATTGAGCAGTGCATCTACACCATCAACGAAACCCTTTGTTAATTGATTAATTATTTAATTTTGTTTATTGTATCTTGTCAAATCTCCGTTGATATGCTTCCCTTTATCATATACCAAACTTTTCATGCTAAAGTCTCACAAGGTAGTTTAAATTTAGACATAAAAGTTTAATGACCAAGCAGTTGTGCTCTGTAGATTTGATTTCCTTTAAGGGCTACTCATAATATTGGATTTAATCAGTGTGCTGTTTGAACTTGTTGTCTTGAATGTTCTGACGAAAGTCCAGGCACTTCATACACCGGCATTCCATCTAGTAATCGAAAGTGGCTCTTTTTTATTGCAGCAAATTGCTCAGAGGATCAAAGTAAAAGTGCTATCGATGATAGTATGGAGTCCTTTGTTTCGTTTGCATGGCATGGATCCATAGTCAACTGTATTGTCACAATCGATCGTAGAGGCTGTCTCAATGTTGCTAAAGTCAATGACACTACCGCTCTCGTGAGTTCCATTTTACGTCTACTCGTACGCATTTAAGTATTTATTGCATTATGCTCATTCCATTTTGTAGACATGGTCGCCCAACCACACACTGCTGTGGTGCGTTGGCTCTAGTTGGTTGGGAATTGATCGCACTGGTCTTTTTTGTGCTCGTGGGTACACTACGTTACCCTCATCTCTACTTGAAGATCAAGTTGATCATATAGTAGAGGGCGAAGCTATCGTCCCTTCTATTCATCGACACATGTTCCCTCAAAAACTGGTAGATGGAGTTTCCCAGCTTTCTCTCCGTTTAGATGCTAATCTCGATTCGCTCATGCAGAAAAGAGCTGATGCAGGTTATGGTCTTAATGTACGCATTTTATTGTTCAATGTCCATATTACTTAAATGATATAACTAGCTGTGATTATTGGCTTTAGACTGACTCTACTCCCTACTCGGTGATTTTGGGGGATGATCCTAATCTGAGGAGCCTGTGGATTATGATAGAATGTATGTCTTTTCCTTCCTTAAATCTTTTCTTCTATTGCTTTGAACTTTTGCAATCATCTACGATTTTAAATTTTATCTACACAGATCTGCAAGATTGCATTGAAGGTTGGGCCCCCTACGGAAAATGCAAGTCATTTATATTTTCGAATCATTTAAATATCAGTGAGGTTTGATGGCTTTATTTTTCTCTTTTAGGTCAAGAGCCAAATACTGGTGGTGGTCTGCGTATTCGCCCAAGTGCTAGCAGTGGTCAATTGTCGTTCATGTCTTCTTCCCAGAATTTACGCTGCACTGGTGCTCTAACAATTCTGTGTGGAAGCGATTCCGTTGATACTGTTCAACTGTCACCTTCTGAGGTCATTAAACAAGCCGATTGGCACGGAATTGATGCTCGACTTCCGTTCCCTCGATATGTTAGTCGTGAGAGGTACACATCGTTCTTGTAATTAAGCCTGTTTAATCTCTTTAAGGATACTATCTGGTATTCTTGTCACTTCCTAGATTCCGAGTGCTTCGAATGTGTATGTGGCCACTGGATGCGCCTCAAGATGTACAGCGAAAGATTCTTGAGAGGTTATTCCTATCTCTATGTTTTACTCGTAACTCATTATTGCTTTGTAATTCCTACCTACTTATTTTGATTTCAGTATCTGCTCCGATTTGGAATTTGAGCGGGCTGCTGCGATGGCCCTTATAAATTTACAATTTGACTGGACTCTTAGCTTTTTGTCACGGGCTTCTGAACGTGAGTTCCACTTGATTAAAAGGCTATGTCGTTTGTGCTTTCGTTTATATGGCTTTATTTCATTTCAAAAGTACTAATGTGTTAAGTGGGTATCATATGTCCTGTTGTAGTTAAGGTTAGCATTACTCTTAATGTCGAATTTATGTTATGTCAATCGTAATATTCGGTAATAGTAGTAAAGGGGGGAATTTATTGTAATTATGAATTGCCTTTCAAACCTTTGTCTCATTGAATAATTGTGATTAGATGATTCTGACGTTTTTATCGTTTTGTGAACTCAAGCGTATACACAGTTCTGAATTTAGTAGGAGATTTTAGTGATAATTGGATTTAAATAATAATTTGATGCACCAACATTCTGGTATATTTTACAAGATTTAAAGTCCACATTTTTGCTGTTCCTATGCGCAGTTTGTGGGCTTCTTCATCCCTCCTGCAAATTGCGTTATCGATTGCTGCATTGCCTTTGCGATTGTGCCTAGATACTAAGTATCATAACTACTGAAATTATTGCCTATCCGGCATGAAATTCATTTCAATATTCAAAATGTGGTTATAAGTAGTTTTAAGTACTTAGTATGAGGGTGGCAATGTTGGACTTATATATTGTGAGCTCACTCCCCCTTCACGCGACAAGGGGGGGGGTTGCTGCCTGAAGGAGGATTGTAGTCCAATTCCTCATTTTGTGTGCACCTATCAGCTGATCCATCAAAATCATCCGATATTTTGCAAGAGGTTGGCTGCTCGTTATTATTTTACTTCGCCTTCTTTTTTTCCTCTATTCCCTTTTTGATCGCGTTAATTTTTTTGCCAAATCTGATTTGAATGTGATAAGGAGCGAAGTCTAGCATTTTTTGACTTACAAGTTTCAGAAAATTTTGTGGATGCAAATTGTATCTTGGTAATTAGGCTTTCAATTACTATTCTTTCCCATATGTGTCTGCGAATGAAGTCTCCGATGTGACATATTACTTCTTAAATAGATTATTAGTTTTGGTGAAAGGAATTTTCCCGTTTTAGCTACAGGTTCTCTGCTTTCATTCTGGGTAGGTGAACGCTTTATATTTTTAAGTTGGTATCTACCATTGGCGATATAGCCTTTGGATGAACTACCTATTAATTAAGTTAATCTTCTATATTAAATTACCAGCAAACAGGATCAGCTGAAGTACAATCTCTTTAAAGAGTTCTTATCTATTGCAGTTGCTTATATCTGCTCACGTTTGTAACAATCTGTTCCTGTAGTACGTGTTGGAACAGTGTAATCGCTTGCAACTTGATTTTTTGTTATTACCCACAGAAATGGAGAGTAAATTACGGCTCTTACTCATGACGAGTAATTGTTTTCGGTTAACAGAAAGTCCAACTAATGATAATAAAGTGACCTTCATTTGTGGTGTTTCTTGGTGTGTGTGTGTGTGCGTGTGTGTGTGTGTGTGAATGCACACAGTAACGAACAGATTGAGATATTAGATTTCACTGGGTCTATTTGAGAGCACCAACCGTAATGTATGGTGCAAATGAAAGGGCCGTACGGTTTTCACTCACCGATTTTAATTGAGTGATAAGTCGATCACATCTCCCTCCCATTACTCCACTGAGACTCTTATGAATTATTTGTGCTCGAAGCCAATTGCTTTGTCAACACAACGTGGGCGGATAGGATATTCTACTTTGGGACCCCCTAATTACTAATTTATTGATTATTCATTGCAGATCGTCGAGCGAAAGAGGCAGAGGTACCGACCTCTCCTGAATCTCACTCGACTGGTGAACTCACGTCGGCTGAAACAGATCTTGTAAAACTTGCCATCTCGGGTTTCTCGGACACACAGAATGATGTTTGGGGGAGTGGTTGTGCTGATATTCTCTCACGTCTCAGTAATCCCTATCTTCGACTCATCTTCAAGTTTCTTACCACCGCACGCGGTGACTTTAATATCTCCCCGGACTTTAGTGAAATTTTGGTGAGTCTCATTTCTCTGGCTCATTGACTTTTCAGTAGTTATTTTCGCATAGCCTCCGCTTTCTTTACCTCTCTTGTAATATATCCTAGTACAAAAAAACGGACTTCTTCGAGTGTACCTAGGGTATATCACCTAGCTAGCTTTTGATTAAATTTTTCTTATTTGACTTCATATTTCACGTAACCAGGTGTGTGTCATTGAGGGTCTAATTGGGGTTTTAACGAGCAAGTTGCCTTCAAATTGCACCCATTGAGAGCTTTAACCTATTTGTTGATAGTTTTCTTTGTTTGTAGCCTAATTTTCAGTATTTTCGTGAATGAAGATTCGGCTACTGATGTCAGGCGTTTAAAGTACTGTTTCTCACTATTCAGTTACACAGAGTAGGGAAAGTGGTCAAATCACGAAGCTGTTTTCGTCTAGAGACAAAATATCGGTAAAGTTGGATCGCTATGACCTCCTTGTTTGAAGAATTTGTGTGCTTTTTGCTTGTTTATACGCGCTTAATTATGTACTTTAATGGCAAACTAACATGACCTCACACATGGAGGTTGAGGTTATTTTTAATTTTTCAATCCGCCCTTTCTTCATTTCTCTTTTCACTGTAACAAATTGGTTAATTTTGCAAATGGAAAGAAATTCCTATCGGTGCTTATTTAATGGTTAAATCGGCCAAACCGAATTAGTTTGATGCACTTATCTTTCTGAATCGTCTTTTGGTGCCTGTTTTATTTTGGTATCCAAATGTGTGCACAGATATCACATTAGTACTCTATAATTAAACCTTGGACTAAGGAGAAATAAACAGAAAAAAGTGCATAATTTTTAGCTTTATGCTCTACTCTAATAAATTTCCTATGGCTTAATTTTACCAAAATCCCTTTTATTTGTTCAGGAGAATGAAAGCCTCTTTCTTATTGATCGTCTAACATTCGCCTGCCTCTACCTCAGCGATGAAAAAGTAAGCTGGACTCTCCATCTGAACATACTCCTTATCAGTCTTCTTTGTTTAAGTGACGTCTATTTGCTATTATTCTGTCCTAGCTTCAAGACTACGTTCTCTCTATCACCAATCGAATGGTACTGGAAGGTCGGCTAGAGGGCATTCTTCTCACCGGTCTCTCCACGCCCCACTTCTTCGATCTCTTGCAAAATTACGTCGATCTCACCTTCGATGTTCAGACAGCTGCCATTTTGGGTCTCCATTCCTGCTACCTATGTCGACGAGCTGCCCCACCTCCCTCTATCAATCCCCCACAACCCACTCCCTTTCTCAACACCCCCGGTAGCCGGTCTAGTACTTCCTCTTCAACTAATCAGAACCGACTCCGGTTCAGAAGTATGAGGGAAGCCGCTGTGATGGCAGCTGGTGCTAGTAGCAGTCGAATGAATCTAACTGCCAGCTCCTCGAGTACAAGCTTGACGCAACCGGCGGATCAACTAGTGGCAAATATGGGAGGTAGACGTCTGGCTAATTGGGTGGAAACGTAAGTCTCTCCTCTCACCTTCTTCTCTTTGAATCAACCTATTTCCATTAAAAAGCAACTATGGGAATTCTATTTTAAGGACATTAATAGTAGCTAGCTAGCTACGTGTGGTTGTTCACAATGGAGGAACTTTTCTCTGAACATAACTCCCTAAAATGTTTATTTTCCGGATACTTTAATTTGTTCCGTTTTGTATCAACTTTGTGAATCTCTATTGAACATGTAAGTTCGATTCTAATTTATCTTCGGGAAACTTTTGAGGAAATGTCGATTCAGCTCTAAATGCTCGTTGAAATAAGGATAAATGTCAACGTGGTGCACCCTGGACAACGCATTCTCATACGGCAAAAAGTCTATTAATCGGCAGTTTGACTTCTGACTTCAAACTACCATGACCTCACTGTATGTCATATTCGACCACTTCTACAGTACTCACCTAACCCTACTCCCTACCATTGTGTCTGCCTCTTTTACATCTGCAAATCACTCTTCGGTCCACCCTCTTGAATTTTTCTAACTTTGATTTTCCTCCCTTCGGTGAAGTTCGAAGTCAGCTAAGGGCTAATGATAACTATCAAAATGCCTGCCATTCGAAATTTAAAAAAATATCCGAGGTGAGGAAGGTGCAAGACAAGATTCCGATTTCGCGAAATCGCTTTTCCAACGCTCTCCATTAGTATAAGTTACTGCATTTATAAATAAATATGTTTATTACATTGTAACCGGATAGATGACAATCCACGAGTCAGAGGCAATCATTTTCGTTCATTATGTGGGCACTAGTTAGCTCCACTATACGCTTAAAACGCCTTTGCTAGTTTCGTCGGCCTGCCTTTGTGCACTGGATGCAAATGCATTAAAGTGGCAAGATCAAGCATTCAGCTTAATCAAACCTCTCAGACGCCCCCGAGATCCAAGTCTAAAAATGCGGGGCTTTGAAACAAGTAAACCCCCCCCCTAATTGGGGGGGGGGGGTAATTTAATACTCACAGAATTTAGATTAACTAGGAGTCTTGTTATCCTATCCCACTTCCTGTTTCGCTTATTCAATTCCTAATCTGTGGTTAACATATGCATAAGTTTTAGCATTGCCATGGCTACTACTTGTAGTGAAATATGTTGAAGTTTGACGTCTAAAAATGTGGGCAAGAAGCGAATTTAAATAATTCAAGTTTTAAGTGTCCCGACAATTGGGTCATTTTGCATTCCAGGTTCTACTTGTTACATATTTAACAATATCGATTTAAATTAGTTAATGTGCGTATTTGAAGCAAAATGTGTCAAAACATCACTGAAGGCGTATAGATGGCTATGCAATGCTTCCATAATTCTAAGTTTTAATTAAATTAGTGAGGTTTTTGTATTCCTATTGTTAGTAATTTGGTCGTGTGTTGCAGGTATCGCGACATGTTGGATCGCTGGCGAATGTGGTTCTATCGCGTGGACTTTGATAACCACTACAAGACCCGCTTGATTACTCCACTCCTGGGTTGTGGAGTGAAGGCTACTGCGATTTCAAGCTCTTCAGGAAATAGTTCAAGCGGTGGACCAACAGCTAGCACTGTCAGTCCTAGTGCAACGACGAAGGAGGCCTCCGTCTCTGTGCCTGTTCTCAACAAGTCCATTCCCACGAATACACCCGTGAGGGGTATTGGTCTGCCAGCCGGTTCTAGTCAGGTAATTTCGAATCCTGTAAACGCCTTTACTGTCTACAATTATTCGTATTAACTTGCTTCTAAAGAATATTAGGGTTTTTGAGACCGTATTTTTGGGGCTTTCCTTTTAGCACAAGTTGTATTAACAGATTTTATTCCACTTTATTCAAAAACTTTCCTTGCATTCACGTGGTTGGCAATGCAGTTTCAGACCATCCAGGCACCCAATAAAGTTGATTCAAGTCAAAAATTGTCTCATCGGTGCACATCTAGTGTTAGGAAAAAGTAACTGCTGTAGATAATGTCGCTCAACAAGAAGGATGTCATAATGCGATTTCCTTATTAAATTTAGGAATTATTTACTCTTTTTGTTTGGTCTAAACACCATATTTTTTCGGTTTCTTTTTATTACCTTTTATAGATATTTGCTTCTTGTATCTACTGTGGATGGCGTTTGGGCGGTGTTGTCCGAAGTAGTACTGAGGATGCCTCATCCAACGCTTCTTTGGCCACCGCTCAGTACCCCCAATCCACTTTCACTCCTACTTTTGGCAATCCACCACCAACAGGAATCGGATCCGCAACTTCATCAGCCGCAGCTGCAGTGGCAGCCGCCGGAGCAAGTGGAGGCTCAACTACAATGCACGCCGGTGGTGGCAAGCAAACAATCTGCTGGCATTGTCTCAAGCCCTTGCCTCGTTGTTCCATCTGTCTCATGCACATGGGCTCGGATGTTGGTGGCAGTGGCAACTTGAGAGATGAAGTAGGGGTGAGGCAATCAGCGAGTAATGGACACCACCATAAGAGGAGTGACATGATTGGCTCAAATAACGCTGTTGGTGGGCCGGCCCTGATGAAGATGGCTGTTGGTCCTACGGTGGGAACTCCTGTTGTTAAGATGACAAGAATTGGTGTCACTAAGTGAGTCCCCTTCCTCGTATTAATATCTCACTATCTTGTTCCACTGACGCATCTCTTAACTCCTACACAAATTTCCCTAAATTGCTCAAGTTTAAATAACGTTATGTGACGTCTAATACTGGGTGGATTTCTATTTTTGGTTCATTTTGACCATTCTGATCATTTTTCAGATAAACTTGCTTTCATGCAATTTCACAAAGCACAAATCATTTATCAAAAACTTTTTTTTGTTTTGAGTCGTGGCACCTTTTCAATACCCCTAACTGCAGAGCATTTCGCTGGTGTACGCAGCTAGTTTAGATTATTTTCTTTTCATTTTACAGAGGTAAGAAGCAGGAGATCCCGGGTAGTAGTAATGATGCAAGTCGTGGTGGTCCATTGCACCTTTCTTCTTGGTTTGTCTGGTGTCAAGCCTGTCGTCACGGTGGTCACGCCGGCCACATATTCAACTGGTTCTACGGCGGTGGCAAAACCAGCGGTGGAGGTTTCGGTGGAGATTTTCCCCTGCCATCGGACCTCATTGAGTGCCCAGTAAACGGGTGCTCTTGCCATTGTGCCAGTCTAGACGCCACCATTCCATCACCTAGGCGTCCTCCGTCCCCACCTCCTGAGTTCCTTTCAGCAGACGCAGGTGCCGTCAGTTTAATCACCCGAATGCGAGATCTTAAATTTTTTGAGGCTGTTGAAGATGATTCCGAGCAAGAGGAATCTGAGGGGTTTAGTGGTGACCCTCCTCCCGCTTTTAAAAGCATGAATGCACCACAGCAGACACAATCAGTAATAAATGGACATCATCGTCAACCTACTGGAACCAATCCGAGAAATCGTCGAGAGATTGTAGATCCTGTTCTTTTGATGCCATCGATGAACTACTTAAATGGAAGAGGGATAGCGGAGGATTAAGGGGGGAAAGCTTGGTGCCCTGCACGCGCCATTTCTCTTCTTTTGCCAATTCTTTTCTATCAATAATTTTGATTATCAATTAAATTATGTCTATTTTCTCTTTGCTTTGTCTTTGTTGTAATTGGGATGGAGAACAGGTGCTAAAGTATAGCAGTGTTCAATGTGCAAGTGGCTAGCTCAATGCTCATAAGTTTGGTGGTTGCTTTTGCCGCAATATTTGCTTCTTGTCATCCAAGGGGGTTTATATGAATTTCTCATATGCGCAACTCCTGAATCCCTTCGCTTGACCATAATTTAGTAGCGTTAACACTTCTATCCAATGAAATCTACTCAGTCCCGGATAGCGTTTGCCTTTTCGTTTCCCTGCGTAGATGAACTGCCTTTGTAGCTGATATTATTTTATCCCCAAGCAATTATCACTATGAATCAAACTAGTTGCATGGCAAAATCGGAGTTTGATCATATCTGGCACAGCAACACGTAGCAGTCGCTCTGGTACTAGTCCTTATATCAAAGACAAAAATCAGTCGACTCTGACAATGGCCATGGTGTATGTTGCAACGCGGTTTCTAATTGGGTGTGTTCGAATTGACTTACATACATTCTCTGAGTGCACATGGCTTCGCATGCCTGCAGCCAAAAGTGCATCAAAACGAAATACATTGAATTCGCTGAAAGGACAGAATCAAAGGAATACTAGGAAAGGGCGTTTTTTGAAGTCTCAAAATACCTTGGAGGGGCAATATTATTTTTTGCTTCGGGGACTTTGACCTTAGAGGGAAAATTTCTCTCGTGCAATATAACGGTCCGATCGCTTCGTGTGCTCATTTAAATAGGTTGTCTATGAACAGTAAATTATTATTTGAAGTTCGTGTCTTTAAAGATTCGAAATTGCCAAGCTGATTATCATGCTTATATCATGTGTCTAAAAAATATTCATTCTCCAATTAGTATACCAATGCTCTTTAGCCCACGGCACACTTAAAATGTCTCATTCAGTTGAATTTGCAAATGGAAGCATTCTTTTCCAACTTCAAAATTCACTAAATTGTAGCGCTTTAGACGTTCTTCACTTTTAGTTAATTTTTTTTCGAACCTTTTTTTCAAGTGGCAGGCGTCTTGATAGTTATCATTTGCCCTTCAGTTGACTTCGAGCTTCACAGAGAGAAGGAGGAACATCAAATTGACACAAAGTCGAGATGGAGGACGGAATAATGATTCAAAGATGTAAAAGAGACAGACAAAGGTAGAGAAAAGGTGAGTTGAGTACTGTGAAAGGAGTCGAATATGACATACAGTCGGGTCATGGTAGTTTGAAGTCAGAAGTCAACTGCCGGTTAATAGACTTGCCGTATGAGTATACGTTGCCCAGGGTGCACCACGTGGAGGTAAGTCTATCGCACACCCCTTTTTTCGAACCTAATGAATAACCAATAGTAGCTTATGCATTTAATTATTTCAAATAGCTTGTTTATGATCTGATTTGAGGTCAAATATTTTCACATTTACTTTGCTTTCATAATTTGGTCTTTATCAGCAGGTGTATGCTTTATCACTTAGCTTCTTCTTGTTGAAAGGTAATATATCGCACCCAGGCCAAAACGTCAACGCTCTCAAGTTCATTTAGAAGACGCGTTTCAGGCACTTGACTTTGGAGTAAGGAAGGCATCCAAGAACTCCATTTCCATTTTTATTAAAATTAACCAGTGCGGTCGGTCGTCCATATCACAGCGCGTCCAAGACTTGGACTAGGAGCACGCTGTCGACTGCACCACTGAGAAGTAAGCTCAAATTTTTATCCATTGGCCTTTAAAAAGGGTTTGAACATCTATAAGAAAACTGGCTAGAAATTATAACGCAATGAAAGCATCACCAGTTCAGAGCACATCTGTACAGTACAAAACGGATTCGAAGGTGCTCAATGGCGTTTTTATTTATTCGTATTTATGAATTCGTAGTAAAATGTAAGTTTTCGTCTTCTGCCACCAGACCTTTGATTATATTATGTACTTGAGACAATTTTACGAGTTTTAGTAAGGTGAGGCAAATAATATCAATGAGCCTGAATAAAGTTTAGACGCAACATCTTTTGAATATTGGTTTGACTAGTTTCGGGTAATCACGCTTATGTCCGGTAAAGCAATTAATGATTGCTATAATTATTGATTAATTAGCACCTCCTAATATCCCGACTCCATAATAAAGGAAATATCTTCTTATTAAATTGAAGTAGAGCCATTGTGTGAACTACAGACTTCTCTATTCTTTCCTTCTTGTCTTTATGTAAATATGGCTGAAGTATAACCCAGCTAGGCGCGCAGCAATATTGCAAAAGAATCCTAGCTTTAATTAGAGTAAAATAACGATAGAAGTGATTTTTTCATAATGAAGATTAGGTAAATTGTTATTGATTGAGTAGAAAGGCTATGGCTTGGTGCTTCCGTCGCAATGTTAGCCTGTAGATGTAGCACGTGATAATTGAAATTCATATACAAAATGCCTTCACGTAATTGTTTGGCTCATCTTATCATATAGCCTGAACGTCTATTTATCAAATGAACAAATGGCACCGATTCTGCTTACATTTTTGAACTAGACATTTCTTAAAAATAACCATTGAATCTAAGTGTCAGCTTACAATCCACCATGCCAAAGAATTGGGAGTTAGAAACGGTACCCTATGAATAAAGTAGAGGCAGAAAAAAGGGCGCAAGCAAATAAATTAGGAGTGGTAAAAGAAAGAGTATGGCAATTACTTCATGCTTGTTCCTTCTATCTACCGCTTAGTGTAAATACAAGACAGAAATATTGCCAGCTGAATAAAAGGCCAGGAAAACACTGAGAAGGTAACTGGAGTTCTGAATCAACCTACTTTTCTTAACTTCCGCAGTTGCATAGAGCCATTGCGAAAGGACTTTCCAAGAAATGCGTGTAGATACATTTGGGATAAAACCTGCACTTAATTATTTCTTTAACAAGATTCACGAAAGGCCTGATATTTTTAAAGTGCATCCGCATAAAAGTACGTGCCTACTCTATATTAAATTAAGAATTATACATCATAGTGTGCGTGATTGAAGTAACATTTTTTACATTGAGGTCTAAAAATTTCGATCCATTCATGAAATTATGAAATTCACACTCAAAAATAAGACAATCACAAGAAACATAGATGTCCATCCGATTAATTTGTATTTGAGTAGACAAAGGTGAACAAATCAGAGGTTCTAAGTGTTTAAATAATAGTAAAAAAGGTGAATAGGGATAGTCATTAGTTGCGAAATATTACCCATTACACACTAATATTTTGAGTTAAGACTAGTCTGTACAATTTCATGAAATGTGCACTCTGCAAGGGGATTTCGTAAATAAATAGAAATTAGCCAAAACAATTCCAAGGCCGATATTTAAATTAACGAGTAAGTAATGGAAAAAGTTAAGAAAATAATTTATAATAAGTAAAATGTTAAATAGCTCGCTATGTTTACATACATGTATGTATACGTAACTCTAAAATCAAAATAAGTCATAATGTGAACGTTTTAAAATTTAAAAGGCATGATATGGACGAAGAACAAAATTTAATCCTGCTCACAAACTTTATTAGCACAAATGTGGATGGCAGTTTAGCTAGTTAATCATAAAAAACTTGTAAAATCACTTCTGATGTTTCTCATTCTGCCTGATAACAGCTTCTTGCTGCTTATCTTTGTTATTCTGTTGACTCTCCATATGAATGCGATTAGATTTGTTGGAACAATAAGTTCTTTTTGGACTCCTTGGACTTGCTAACCTATCTTCATCATCAGCATATTTCTCAATCTCGGCTATGTCCTTTTGTGGCTCTTCCATCTATAAGCCCAGCGACACGAAAACCACCAAATAATTTCGTATTATTTAGCTTACTTAAAAAAAGACCTTGAGAATATTGCAATTCATTTGTATCTAAGTCGTATTTTATTGCATTATTTGTACGTTAAATTATTTTAAAACTTCATTTAGGGATTTTAAAATAAATTGTTTCTGAATTTTGTGAGTACAATTTTGTCATTCGATTAATAAGCTTATGGGTAATAAATAAATGGCAAACTGCTAGTTTGCTAAGATAAGAAATAACCAAGCTTTTGAAATTATTTGACTAGATGTTAAAAGTGGTAATTAATCATTGCGAGTTGCTAGAATGGTAATTTACGCTAACAATCCCTTTGTGCTACGAACAAAAAAAGTCAATTTAAGGCATTTTTGTAAATATATTCAGTAAAAGGTTTTTAATTTCACTACCATTCCTGGTTTTCTCAAATAATACGCAACTAATCAAAGTTTCTCTTCTTCGAATTAGAATAAGGCAAACCGATCAACTTAATGAAACTGCTATATTCTCATAACGACTGAATGTACACCACATACTTTAATATATTATTCTTTATATAACTACTCTGCCTTGATCTTAAAAAGCGAATATTGCTATGTTAAATTATTTTATGGAAATGATATTTTACTACTTATATACAGGTAAGATATAATAATGTTAGCTAGTTCCATAATCGAGGAATATGCCAGAAAAACTGTAAAGATTCAAAAAAGTAATAATAGCTTTTTGAGAATTTGAAAGTGCTTTCATTAGAAAGTCAGTAGCTTACAAAATTAAGCTATGTAAATTCGCCACAATATGATATATTTTTGAAGTAATAGTTTGCGTTAATATTATTATTCCACTCCAGTCCAATTTCATCTTCTGAGAAGTTCATTAATCACATTTTCAGCTATATGTAGAAATGTGTGGCAAAATAAATTTTGCTTCCTGATAGTTGATTCATTAAATCATTAAATTTTTGAAGATATCAAGTAATTGAATATAAAATAGTGTGTATGAAATAAATACGTAAAAAAACTTTACTATGGAGATTGAAGGCGTTATAGGTTATATTCATGTCATTAATGAGCATTCACCATAGGCGAAAGTTAATAGAAAAAGAAAATTATGTACGTGAATCCTCCGTGTCAAATATACTTTGAAAATTAATAGGGTTGAGAAAATGCTGTAAATCGATATATGCACAACAAGTGACGATGTATCTATCAAAAGATTCCCTTCTCCAGCCAATTTTCATTGTAAGAAATACTTTAAAATGGAAATTTAAATTCATGTCTTAGGCATTTCCTGAGAATGTTGGGACGAAATCCAATGTAATGAGAAGAAAGCACAATCATGATTACAATCGATCTTTAAGCAAATAATAAAAATTTACATTTCTAATAATTAAGATTATTTTTAAGAATCCGTTAAAGGATTAAAATTGTATTTCAAATAATATCCAAATCACATTCAGAAATATTTGTTAATCAAAATCTAACTAATTAGCATATTTACATATATATCAATTCCAAGACTGTTCTTATGTTTGCTGTTTGATTTACATTTAAAATGGTAAAAATTAATTTTAGTTAATTAAGGCTTTAAATCAACCGTTTGACTTTCAGATGATATGAAGTCACCCAATAAGATGGGACGGTTGGGTACTGTGGATTTCCGTGACATTGCTAGAATCACCATCTATCTCCCTTTTTATTGTATGCTTGGGAGTTTATGCTATGCTATTTTCTTCTACTTTGATGAAGTCACGGAGTCGAAGTGTGGAGTTCATAATTTTGTTCCTTCAATAAGTGGGGCTGTTTGTATGCGGCCTCTTTTGCATTGGTGGCGATTTTGTATCATTACTCACTCAGTGCCTCGATTCGGTACTGCATATTTGTATTATTATATGCACAAGCAGTTATCTGACAAAGTAAACGAGTGGGAAAGCTACAGCTTAAGTATACTTGGCTCGTTTGTGCTTGAACTGACTGATATCCTATCTCTTTGTGGATTATCCATAGTATCCACGGTTGACAATTTCAGTAAGATAAATTTTCATTAACTAAACTTTTAGATGTTCATGAGTTTTTTTTCATTACTTTTGGTATATCAAGTTTTCTATGTATGGCTTTAAAGTTTTATATTCATGTTGGCCTGCTTCGTCGGAGTCTTCTACCTGAACCTGTATTTAATTTTTATTTAGAATTATTTTTTTTAGTTTAAGGATTCCTTAGAAGACAAAGCTTACTTTTTAACATTGATGTTATTGTTCTCACTTTTTGCCTCCAAGCATTACTATGCGCACTATGTTCTCTGTAAGCCTAATGGTAATTTCATACATTTTAAACATTATCTTCATTATTTGGTTTCAAATTTAATGTAACTTTTGTTTTTATACAGCTTTCAGCTGGTTCTCCATTTCGGAGTTCGGTATTGCTTTTGCAAACATGGGCTTTCATGGAACTGCGATGCACGACTTTTCCAACCTCAGGATTTCTGCCTCGCTGATTTGAAGATGATTTGACCTCTTTTCTTTCCTCTGCTATTCAGTTACATTGTTTGCTTTCATTTGTATCACTGCATTTGTCTTAAATAATGATGTGCTCGTACTCCAAGACTGTTTTCTTTTCTATATTTTACATTTGCATCCCTAATTCTCCTGTTTTATTTCAGTTTATGTCTATACCACGATCAGAAGAAACTACTCCTGTTGAACGGTAAGTGTTATTTAACATTTAATTGCTTTTCTATTGATTTCTAATTTGATTTTAAAGTCAATTTTCATATTTATAAGGATTCCTTTTGCACCCTGTCTGGTATGATGCTATGTTGCGTTGCTATTGCCTAATTTGTCATTTGTGTATCACCCTTCCCTTTTACCTTAGATGCATTCGTTCATTCATAATCAAATCTATCTACGGTATTGCACAGTCTCGTAGTGGTAATGCCTATGCGACTGCCTGTATCTCTGATGTTGGAGCTCGTAATAATCTTGTAGGTTTCCTTACTTTTATTATTACTGATGAATATATTCTAGTAGACTTAACTTATAGCTTTTCTACTTTTAGATGATTTACCTTGAAGAGGATCCAGAAATCGGAGCTACGATTAAGCAGAATCTCGATTCCAATTCTCCTATCAAAATGGGTACGTTGTATTGTTTTTATGGTTTTTTTCTGCGTTAATGATAGCCGATCTTGACTAATTGCGTTTTTCCAAATGGTGCATTCTCAGTATTGACCTGCTAACTTCGATTTGAGCAAAAGTACTCGCCTTGTCGTGAAGTAGTGGTCAACATTTTCTGTTTTATAAGTTTCTATGTGAGCATAGTTAATGAGTTGCTATCAGCGTTACGATTTACTCCCGCGTTAGGAATGAGAAATCACTTTAAATACCGGAACAATTTTAATTTAGATCTTGTTTGATATTGTTTTATATTACGCAGTTAAGAGTGTGCTAGGTATCGTGCCAGTGATTTTGAGTTTGCCGCCTCAGAATATGTAGATAATATAACTTGAACTCCATCTACAATTCCTTTCCGTTTTTCTTCCACAATACAGTGAGGCTGAATTTGATTTCCCTAAAAAGGCGAATTTACGATTATTTTTTATATCAAAAATTTTCATCTTTTTAAGCTTTTCTCTTTACCTGGAGCTTCGTTTTTTGCACAGCCTTGATTGTTACAAGAAAGAAAATAAGCTTAACCAAGCATTGATTAAGTTAAGGACCTCCAATGATTGTAGAAATAGGTTAAATGTGGTTGCTTTTTACAGGTGACACTATCAGCCTAGAGATTCTCTTGAAGAATGGTGCCAATCAATTAGTTGTCCTCGAAGTGTGGCAATTTCGTCTGGACACTGAGGACAACTTGCTTCGTCGTGGTCGCCTGCCTTGTTCCAAGGTAGTAGCAAATCACTCTGGTCTCCAGCCAGCCATCTCCTCCCTTCCGCCTGCTGCTTCACCCTCTCCCACACCATCTCCGAATGACCCCACTTCTGTCGTAGGACAACAGGCGTATTTTTCTGTTCAAGACTTTCGACGATCACGATTGTTTGAGCGTCTGGGGAGTCTATTGAAAAGTCTCTTGGTCACTACTCGAATGCTTCCGGGTTTGTGTGCACTTGAATTTTTGCTTAAGCCTTCATTTCGGTTTCAAGATGATTGAAAGGAGAAAATAAAGGGGCATTCCATCTCTCGATGAAATCAATGTTTTTTAATGTTGACATACTCCTGAACTTAAGGATCTAGTCATAAATTCAACTTAGAACCATATATATTGGGTGACATGTTAGTCTACTTAATTCAAGCATTCTTCCATTATTCGCTTTTACATCACAAAGTTCATCAGAAGAATTTTTATCGTTTATTAGCCCTTTAGACTTGTGTGTGATGGCAGATTTAAGGTTTTCCTTCAATTGCTCAAATGGGGAATGCGTAATTGAATGCCAGTATTTACGTAGTGTGGAATAAGACGTTGCAATGAGTTAATTCGTATTTTATAAAGCCGATTTTGCCCTGGAGTTTTGTACTTATTTGGTGTTGCCGTCAGTTTATCGATATATGGAGTCACTAAATTTGTACAAGTGAAAAGATCTCCTTCCAATTAAGTACATGGATTCCGGTTAGTTAAAATCTAACAGGAGTACACTTGCAAGTCCATAGGTTTCGAATTGTGAGGTATTTAATCGTTTGGTTATATGAGTTTGAATCACCAAGTGATCAAGAAGTAGGCTCACAACTAAACTGATGAACAAGCCTGTAAACCGAGTTCACCAATGGGAAGGCTGAACTATGGGAGCTCTATTGGCTAGATCTTACAAAATGGTCATCGATTCCCTTCACCCTTGGTGGTGATAATGGATATTTGAATTAATGGAATCCTTTTCTTCTACTATAGTAAAAAATTCCTCGTTATCGTGGTCGTGTATCTCCTTCCATCTTCATAGCTGTCACTCGATACATACCATGCATAATTTTAGTACATTCAATATTCTGGCTCAGAATTTAATTTGCAAATGTTTCATGTTACTTTCAGCCTACGAATTTTCCAGAAACCAACAGCATTTGATGTGCTACACCCTACGTCGAGATGAAGTCCCACTTGATCGACTAGGTGCAGATGCTGTGGTATGCCGTCAGGTTGGCCATCTCGCTACAGGTCTAGCTGTCGGTCCTGAAGCCACCAGTGTTTTCCTCAATGTCTCTGTTCGCTATCGAATCAATTTGAACGACATTGATTTTGAAGAACATATTCCTCAACCCCTATCTCAAGTGCAATCTCGGCGGCCTCGCTCTAGAAGACCGTAAGCAATTTGTGAAAAATTGGTAGTCTTTCATTACTAAGATAGATTGACTAGTGCCTCAAATCTACGAAACTTTCTATTTTTACGAATAGTTTTGACGCTTAAGTAAAAGCAGTTCGAAAGTAGATATCGTAGTGAGGTATGCTAATCAATGAGGATGTCAGCACAATTACCGATAAATTGTCGTGCTTTCTCTTAGGTGACATTCATATTCGCCATCTAATCATTTTTAACTATATTAAATGCAGAAACGAGCAGGATCAACCTGATAGATCATGAACTGTCTAATTCCATCATTTTCAGTCTTAACAGATTCTACATATCAAGTGATTATTGTTTTGGTTCTGGAACTTTGCATTATATCTATCATCTGACCTATTTTTTATGAAAAATGACAAGCTTTTCTTGCTATACCAATCCCCAGTCAACCCTTTTTGTAAATATTCATACTTTCAGTAAGTCCAGGCTGGTAAATTAACATTATTTTGGATTAGGATGAGTATAAAACATGAAAGGCATTAATTAATCTATTACCTGTTATTCCTAACATCCATGACAATATTTATCGTGATCACAAATTCTGAAACCTATTTCTGGAATAATATGCCTCTTAATCATTAGTAACTGAACCGCTGTAAGGAGTTAATTATTCATTAATCGACCCTTACTAAGGCCTTCTGTTAGGGATCCTGTTTGCTCTATTTTGACTAGAGTCTATGAAAATCGAAAATTTAGACTTGTTTATTTCACTTTGTCTGCATTACTAATTAAATTGGATGACTACAGAACTTCAAGAATTAACGAATGAATTCTTTCTTCGTTTAAATAGGCGTATTCGCCCTGCATTTGCAACCACCGCAGATCCAGATGACGATTACTTTCAAGAGGACTTGCAAGAGGAGAATGAGAATGGAGAGGAAGAATTTGGAGATGGAGCCTACAGATTTGCCAATGAAGGTGAAACCATTTTTGATGAGGCAACAGGATGCTACTATTACTTCCAAGATGACGGTGGAGTCCTCGAGGGCTCCACATGCATACAGGGCAGTGAAGAAAATACCAACAATTCGGGAGAGTCGCCCCGAGGATTTGAGGGCGAGGAGAGTGGTGGAGTAAACGGTGGAGAGGAAATCAGTCGGAATAAGGCTCCGCTTCACCTTGCGTTCGCTTCCCTAGATCTTGGAGCTGGGTCGTCTGCAGGCGGTGGTTGCGCAAGAATGGCGCATTTAGTGACCGAGTTGCGAACCAAAACCGATCTTGATCTCTTTCGTGTTCCAGGTGCTGCTACGAACACATCTACATCCTCAGTGTTTGATCCCAATGCTCTTGGGGATGAGTTAGAGAGGCACGAGAAGACACTGCGAGAATTCGATGACTTTTTGTCAGACTTTCTAACTGCGCAACCGAATCTTACCGGTGTGATGAACCACTAGTATCACTTTTAATCGAATCCATAACCCTTGACAATTATTATTTCTTTTGTCTGCATTTTCAACTATGGAATATGAACGTCTTTCAACTTATTTGGCCTTTTTATAAAGCGCTGCTCAAGAGGTTTAAGTGATATTGAAATAATCCATTAAAGGCAACTACTACAAGTAATAGGGGAGTTCAGTACAAAGACAATAGTCCAAACGGACTGCTTCTAAATGGTTAGATGTGTTTATGCTCTGTAGAATGGGTTGGCGAATGGGTATTCGGGGAACATCCAAGCGAGCTGATTGGAAAATATGGCGTTTGGGATCAAAGAACTTTAGTAAATTGGGTTCTGGGAGGATTTCCTAAAATGATTTGAATATATAATGCGATAAAATAAAGAAAACAGTATTTAATTAACTAGATAACTAGACGGTGTGGGAAGCGGATTTCAAATTTGGAAACATTAAGAGTGAAAGACAGGAAAAACAACCAGCTTTCTTTGGCCACAAACTTTACCTCTCTGCAAAAGCCCTGGAGATGAATGCTTATGTTGGGAGTGGTGGGGTTGCTAGCTTACCAACATGTATGAGGATTATAGATGCGAAAGCCTTACTGCGATGGGATGAAGAACTTACACCCCACGGGTTGTGGTCAAGTAAGGTCTTTGTCTATATCTTGATAGCCTTGACAAAAATATCGTCAGTAAGATGGAAGGAAAGTGGGCTTGCGACCTAGATATCATTAAAAGAAGCACTTGCCCTCTCGCGCACAGTCTAACTTGACTGCAGAGCATAGACCGAGCATACGAGAACAACAGTAGTTGGCTTGATTATAAGATATACTCATATTCACATTCCTTGTTCAATCAAGATATTATGGCCGCTGTGGTCGCCTCATCACTCCCACCTTTTATATTTTATGGAATTTCACTATCAACTTGTCTCGTTCATAAAATGGAGTCTTAATGGAGACTTATTTCGATCATGCCTCCAAAAGCGGTCTAGGCAAGTATTTATTAAATGAGATCTTTTGGAAGAGATAATAGAGGAAGAAACAGTATAAAGATGCATAAGACCATGAAGGATGGACTAAGAGGCATCAAAGAGTACATCGATGAGATAAAACGCCATTCAGTTTCTCTCACGCTGTTTTGCATAATGATAACAGTAGCTTTGTCCACTAAAGCGCTTAATGGCTTTCAGTATGAAAAAAAGTTTATTCTTTCAAACAGTGAAAGTTACAAAATTGAAAAATGCTCTAATCGCTACTATACCAAAAGCCAAAATGCTAGTTGATAAACAATAGTCATATATATTTAAAGGAATAACAAATTTTAGATGAATTAAAGGGAATTTAATACACGATATAAGCACTGTGCACATACAGGTAAGTACAAAGTCTTGGTAATAGAAAACAAATGATCCAGCACAATTCGTTATGCATCCGTGATGGTAGTATGCAAGTGTAGCAGTTAAAACTAACAATCACTAGTACTGAAGAGATATAGGTAATAAAATTAAGGGGGAATAATTTTACCAAAACTTGCCCAATCTTGGAGCAGGGAAAAAGAATGTAAAACGTTGATCGTTTATTTTCCTTTAAAATAATAAATTATTTTTATTAAAAGCTACACGTATTGAAGAAAGTTCGAGTTAAGAAAAAAAAATTTAAAAGCTAAACTAACTGAACAAACACTGTCGGACTGTCAAGATAATGACTGACTCACCTGTTTCGGTGGATGAACACGACAAATTTCTGCAAGTACGCGATGCCTTTGTCTCGCGAAGCGATCTTTTTCTTCCCGTATCAAATCTTCTTCATTTACATCATCCAAAGTGGGGAGGGAGCTAAATAAACGGTCATCCGGGGTAAAATTGACACAGACTTTAAGCCCATCTCCACCAAGAAGTTCTGTTTCTTTTTCACGCTTTTGAAGAACTGTTTTCATAGCGTCAGAAACTGAATCCGACTAAGAAAGAGATCAAAGGTGCATAAGTCTAGGCAAACAAAAAAGAAATAAGAAAGAATTATTCAGCAAGCAAAACTAACAGAATTCTTCGCCATGTGTACACGACTAGCCAGTTTAATAACTTCCTCTTGAAGATTTCGAACTGAATTAATTTGAGGAATATCGAGAGATAAGGCCCCAAAATCATGTGGCAGTTGCGGCTCGTCCGAGATGGAGAGATCTAAGGCCTCCGAGTTTAAACATGGAAGTGGTTGCGGTGAAATGTCTCCATTGTCAGTCTCATCTTCCAGAGTTAGCTCCAGGTTATCCCGTGGGAACGAATCAGCAAAATGGAGCCGGATTGATGGCATTGAACTTGGAGTTTTGGAGCGAAGATTAAATCTAACATGTTTCGATGTGTTTCCATTCTCACACCCATCTAGCATATTTGAAAGCATATTTTTAAAACCATTATAGACTAACTGCAATATTAAAAATACTAGGCAAGCTTACCACCATCTGATAAGCAGGATGCATCGGAAATAAGCTCAAGACTCATTAATGTAATACCACGTTAAACTACAAGATCAATTGTTGTAAAATATAAGCACAAATTAAGCAGCAAATAAATATCCTAATACGTACGGAAGTACTAAAATTCTATAATCGGTTTAATTAGAAGGATAAATACTATAAAGCATAATTGTTACGTGAAATGATGATAATAAGTGTGTTCACTTAAATAAGCCGCAAATACAGACTGTTTACCATGACAACCATCTGGGAAAATAAATCAAATATTTTCATGAAAGAATTAATAATATTTTACGCTAATCATCTAGAAATAAGATTTATTTAAATGTTATATAAAGTGCTTATGTTTTTAATAAGTGATTGAAAATCCTCAATTTTAAAATATTTGGGTGCCCTGATCACGCTTTAGTACTCGCGCTTTAAAGGTGGCAAGTTCGCATAAATTGACTGCACATTTTCTTTCGTGAATCTTTAATCAATAAAAAGTTTAACACTATTTTATCTATTTGTTTTTAGATATAATGTCGAAAGAAGCCACAGCTTGTACTGAGAAGATCGATAAGATTGAAACTTTCATCAATGAAAAATTACGCATTGATCTGAAGTATACTAACCTCTTTTAGTGATATTTATTTTATAGACGCGTGCTTGAAGCTGGTGATGCAATGTATGGGGATATTTCGAGTTACCTTGAGCTTCAAAACCTACTTGAGAAGTTTTCTGAAATGGACATAAAATCTGAAGACAGTGAAGGCATTGAAACTATGGTTGACATGGGACTTAATTTTTACATGAAAGCGAATATGTAAGAAATTTAACATATCCTGGTTATCCAACCACGACCTGTATTCTTTTCAGACCATCGTTAGCGAAACTCTACGTCGATGTTGGTTTAGGTTTTCATGTTGAAATGACTCCCGCAGAGGCCCTTGAGTGCGTTCGTCAACGTATAGAATTCCTAAATGAGAAGGCGGAAGTTTTTCGCAAAAAGGCTTTCGAAATTCGCGCTCAAATCCGAGTTAGTCTGGAAACTCTTAGAATCCTACAAAATCTTGATGTCGAAACGCGACCTGACTATCGTGATGTTCTCTTATAAAGGTATTTTAGCATTTTGGAACGTCAGAATTTCCCCCAACTCCATTGTATATAGATCCTAATGCCTAACTTTGAATAAATTTTACTCCAAACACGTTCTTCATTTTCTATACGTACATTTTCCCAAATACCTTTCTTCTTAGCTCTGTTTTTTATTCATTTTTGTATATTTGTATGTTTTTTGGATTTCTTCTTTTAATTGATATGCGAAATTGGAATTCGAATATTTTCTTACTGGCCGTTGGATTTTTTCCTTTAACCTTCATACGTTAAAAGGATATGTGTTAGCAATTGAGAAATGTAAGAATGCAGTTTATTTTTAAAAAATGTGTACATGATAGACAACAACAATATTTTTTATGGTTCTACTAGTTCTGCTGCATCGATCTGAGTTCGTTTTGACGTTTTGCCAGGTTCTAAAAAATGAACCAATTAGCAAGGTGGAAAGTTTGTATATTTAAGACGTTTCGAAATATTTCTTACCTCTTTGATTCTGGAAACTTCACGAAGGGCTGAATCTCGAGATTCCTAGAAAGGAAAGAATGCTTGGAGAACATAAGGAGAGTGTTTACAATCGTCAAATTCTTATGGAGGCCGCGATAAACTCAATCCTACTTATCCTGCACTTCACCCCTTCTGTCTGTGCGACATTTGCATATTCTTAGACGTCTTTTTGTTTTCCTGATACATTTATTAACAGAATTGTTTTCATTGGGTTTCGTAAAGTTTTGATGGATCTGTTTAAGTCTTTTCACAACATCCTCTTCAGTTATCCCGTTGTGGGACTGTTCTAGTTCCTCCACTATCTGTAAGTTGCACATCAGTGGTATCTTTGTTTCTTATTTGAATAAATGAAGGCATATAAGAAACCTCCCAGCACTCATCTTTGGGACGAATGACTTTAAGGAGAATCGAATTTGGTTATCCCTCTTTTGATCACTCCTGTTAATTAATAATTTCAGATCTTTGTATTTCAGCTTTCCAAGCTTTTGTCTCGGAAAGAATAGTTTTCAGGAGGCCATTGGTGGAAACTGCCTTATCGTTAATCTTTGCTTTTAACGTGCATCCGTGACTTCTAACTTCATCTCAATGCCACCAGAGCACATATCAACACAATTCATGCCACTAAGTTTAATAACTTTCTTCGGCGCTATTTAACAAACAAGATAACCGCATTTTAGTTTAGCGGCATAGAATCATAATCTTCCAGTTACAGCAGAATCCTCAAACACTTCCATCTTAATCATTGTTTTTAGGCGGGTGCCTAGCTGCACTTCCAGGTGCAAACAAAGAAACGATTTCTGACGTACAAAATTCTAGAAGTACCGTAAAAAGACTTATAATTAATAGGGGATCATTACGGCTGAATAGTAAAACGAGGAAAATTAATCTGAAGGGATGCAGACGCAATCTTAACTCACTTAAATCAATTTCGGTTTCTAAAAAACTCAACTTTTATTAATTGGACACAATACAATCTCTCATTTCATAGAGGACGATTTCAGAAATAAAACGAAAGCTATACCTGAGGGTATGCAAAATCAGGATCAGCGATAGCTGATAAGAAATCAGAAGTTGGACGACTAGGAGGAAAAGAAGGAGGACTAGAAGATATCAAAGTAGATTCCGTTCGAATAACTGTTGGTGTATCTTTATTTATTCGATTCTGGTTATGGACGTCAATTGAACCACTATTTGATCTCCCAGCTGGAATGTCGGTAGAAAGTAAGACAGTTACGAACACCATCATAAGTTACGCAATCAAAACATTATGATTTACTCACTTGGGTTAGAAATGGTATAAGTACTCCCAAATTGCTCTTTCTTTATACATTTGAGATCATTTGGCCTTTTTCCTGGTTGCGACACCGGCTGAAAAGGATAACGAGTGGAATTAAAAATCGCAACTACTGAATAATAATTAAGTAATGTTTATTACGAATACCTGATTAGTGGAGCGGGGTATTCGACTAGCGTTGCTAGAAGAGTGATGAATGTTACTTTGGGGCTGCTTTTCATTGTTCTCAGTTATTTTAAGAATCAGACGTTCTTGAGCTTCTAACTCAGTTTGTCTACGACGCTGAGCAAGTTTGAGCTCTTGTTCTTCGATGAGACGACGTTCGCGCTCAATTTCAAGACGAATTGCCTCGTCTGCTTTAGCTTCTGCCTCACGCTCTTTCCGACGCCTCTCGTCGCGTTCCCGCATCTGTTCGGCATACGCCTCCTTCACAAGCAATACATCTTCAACGTATTTCGTTATTAGATTGTAACAATATTAAATCCCATTTGCACGCTAGCATACTAGTCAGACAAATTTCCTGGACAAATTTGAACCCACTTATCTACCTTCAATTAACCTAATCTTGATTTAGTATTCATTATCTTTATTCCCATTGATGTTATAGCAATAGGAAACTTCACAGAGATAAAATAAATGGGCCCCATTGCATTGATTTTTGAAAACATTCTTTCTGTTGCTTAAGATGTCTTCCTATGATGAGAGGAACGGCATAAAATTATATCGGTACGAAAAATTCTAGGTTTACAAACATTCAATTCTTATATTTAGTACCGCAAATCCCCATCTTAAGGGGATTCAAGCGAAAATGACGAGGTTTTAAGCCACCAACCTCGAAAAGAAATGAATGTTCTTGTACTATCATCACCTCAATGACTTCTAATATCAAAGATTATACCGTTTTAATTCTTAGAAACCATAGGAAGGGTTAAAATGGCACACCCCAGAATGTTGTCCTTAGTGTTGACTTGGGATTTAGTGAGAGATCTTTAAAAGATAGAAAAAACTCCAACGCATGTTCTTGTTAGAACGCGGTTGCCCTAAATCATACTCGCTCTTGATAGTTACTTGGATCTAGAAGTGTCATCTGTTCGACGGCGTTTCAAAGTCCTAACAACTTCTCATATAATAATTTGTTTAATTTGTAAAATGCATTGGAATAATCTCTACCTCTGTCTGCAGCCTAATGAGAATATTTATCAAAGCGAAAGAAAATTGATTTCCTAACATTTCAATAGAAAAGAAGAGGCTTACTTTTAAAGGATTCTTCTCCCCATGGACCAAAACCCACTTTCTCTTCCCAAAACTGTTTTCTCTCTTCTGTTACTACACATCCGCCTGTCTAATTATTATATTCCATTTTACCTTTAGTGTTAAGGACACATGGTTTTATAAATAAATGGTATATTATAGGACGCTACTTTTAATTCCCGTTGCCGCTCACGTTTGGTAGCCGATTCCGATTCTTGTCGTCCCATTAAGTCGGCTAGACCACGACCTCTACCATAACTAGCTGATTTGACCTCAGTATAAGCAGGTGCGGTCAAAGAGGAATCAATTTCTTGACTTCTCCTAGGTGGGGCAGAATCTAGTGCCAAATTTTTGAGGCGTTCCTGTTCTCGTGCAATACGTCGCTCCTCAATCTGATGGTCAAGATCGGCTAACCATTGGCGTCTCTTTTGCTCCTAACAAAGAGGAAAATACACAACGGCAGTTGAGAAAAATGAGCATAATGAGAGCAAAACCCCAAAGGGATAACATTTACTTGGGAGGTAACAAATATCGGCTAAATCACGTGGTCATTCATAGAGCCCCCATTTAAATAGAAGGCTCTATTCAAGATAAAGTTAGAATATAGTTAGATAGTTCTCAAAAGAAAGGGAAACTGACTAGAGGTGTGTTCTATTCTGAATGCGGAGTGGCTACAGACATCGAGTTGTGGTTGGGTTTCCTTTGTTTCTAACTATATTTTTACTGCCGGTTGTAATGAAATTCATTGCATATTGAGGCTTCCTTAAAGATATTTTAGAATAATGCAATAATTCGCTCGTGTGAAGATGGGAAAAATTGACTTTAGGATACACGTAAAAGCATAACTAGTGCACCTTGGCCAATAAATGTCAATAATTCTAGATTCACGAAAGGGCAATTAATACTGGAGTTGATATTGAGATGTAGCCGTATAAGTTTTGGGATTTTGCAAAAAAAATAGAAGATGAGCACTAAATTGAAGATAGACAGACAAAACATCATATAAGATAGAGAATTAAGAAATGTAAAAAAAACTTTCCATCCCTTCATTTAATTTTCATGAAATGTTGAACAATTAGAGCTAGCATTAATCAAACCAACTAGGTCCTTCCTATTTTGAATTTAAAATTAGGTATTGGCGTTAATAATATCGATAAAATTGCCAAAGCCCCGCTTTATCAATAGCAACTTCGTACCAAGAGTGAAAACATAGAGCTTCCTTACTTCCTTCACAATTCAATAGAAATCGCTTTCCAGCCGTGCGCTTATTAATGACTAAAATGAATTAATGTACATTTAACGAAATATAGCCCTTCAATAGTTTATTTTCAAAATGAAGTGTAATACAGCTTTTCGAATCACCTTCAATACAGCTTCAGCTTGCGGATCCTCACCCACTGGAAGCCCCGCGAGATAGTTGGATCGTTTGAATCGATGGTGATCCTTTGCAGGAGGAGGAGCTGGGTTAATGACCTTTTCATGATGCATCACACCCTCGGCCATTGTCGGATTATGAACCGCTGGAAGGGCTCGACCTTTGCTTAAACGTTCGAGCTCCTCTAAAAGTATTTACCAAATAATAGTAAGGAGAAGGGGAATAGATAACACTAATGAATAAACCAGATAGCAATTCGTATAGAAGTAAAATGAGCTTAATTTCATGCTCACAAACATAAAAGTAACAATTTCTCGATACCTTACAAATAAATTGGGATTTTATTGTTAGGCTTTTCAGGTGCTTTCCGTCTGTCAAATTCGAAAGTTCTTATAACAAGGCAGAAGAATCAAAACACAAGAAAACAGTAGGGTAGCCTAAATCGGGGACGAATGAGGTATTGAATGGAAGTGCAGGGTAAAATTCATGGCATTAAAAGTCACAATTTAGCGGAATTTCGTCCTTTAATGGATAATTCTTTAACCCTTAACTCAAGAAAAGAATTAAGCTCTAAGCTAGAACAGTTTTCTCCAAAAAACTGGTAATTCGGTCATTGTATGTTAAGAGATGGATATCAAACCTATTAAACATTTTAAAATCTTAAAAACAGCAATCTTAAATAATTGATTCATGAATTATCTTTATTAAATTAAGGAAATTTTTGATGAACAATAAAAGTATTTTAGAACCTAAAAATAGCGTAAGTCAGTGGGAGAACCGATTCATTATAAGAGTGATATAAAATAAGACAGCCTACCGAAGTCACTTTTTCTCTAGAAACCGGATATTTCCAAACCCTAAGTAGTAGTAGGAAAAGAACAATAGTTCACAAGAACCATTTAGAATACACCCAAAGGAAGTTTTGTCATTGGATAGACCCTGAGTTTAGCCATTAAAAGGACGTGTTTAAATAGTTCTAAATTGGATCAGCAAATATTCATTAATGAACCAACATTATCAAAATGACTACAAATACCACATGAAAACAAACCAAATTGAGTCTACTTCAACTAATGCAATTATAATGTACAAGTTAAAAAGTAAAACTTACCATTTTCCTGCATCCATTGCAGACGTTTTCTTTCCATTAAAGTCAACGGAGGGTTCGGTGAATCAGATGCTATTGTGACTTTTCCACTCTCTAGACTCTCTACTGAAAATCCAGTTTGGTGTTTATCAATGTTATCCGATGTCTGCGACTTAGCAGAAGAATAAATGGAAGAATCCACTGCATTTGCATTAAATTCTACATGTAAATTTCAAGAATATTAGTAGAAATATAATAAAAGCTGAGAAAAAGTACAGAATACAAACTAACGTTTTAAGCATTGGTTTGTAACTAAATAAAATGAAGAAACCAAGTCCACAAGTTGCGAATCAGTAAGTTTATCTTTGTTAAGCTCGATAAGCCTATTAACGGCTTCTTTAAAGATTTCATTGGAAAACGGAAAATTATCAAACGAGTTTAAAATACCACTTTTATGATCAACACCTTGATCGATTTGGGAGATCGATTGTTGTGAGGGTTTAGAAGAATTTGATTCGATGGGTGTGAGATGAGCCTGAAATCGAAAAGATAATATAAATTACCCAGGCAATGGTTTATTTGCTTTGCATAAATCTTTACCCGATCAGTTTTGCATAAAACCTGAGCCAATTTCTGCTGCGAAACAATACCCGCTTTCGTTGAATTGATATTTGTGTTCAAAGAGTCGATTTTACTATTATTAAGAATTTCCTGGCGAGCTCGATTGTCCAATTCGGCGCGTATTTTTCCTGAACCCAAACTCATTCACTAAGGTCACACTTTCTCTAAAATGGAATTCCCGCCAAAGTAAAGCACTCATCTATTGGTTCGTTTGCTTAGTTTACGTGTATGTTGCTATGGTAATGAGGCATACAAAGTAAGAAGCGAATATCTTTGATTGTTGGTTTTAATTTTCTTGAAATGAGCTTTCTTCCTCATCGGTATCATATTAATTTTAAGTATGCTTAAAAATAATGCTACTTCTCTACTTGCGTTGCAATCAGAATCTATTCTGATAAAGATTTCCAAATAACTTTTATCAAGCATTGAATCTCCACTAAAATGTTTATCTAATTAGATTGAAGCAGTCTTGTATATTGTATTTACGTTTTAAGATTTTAATAAATACCATTATTTTCTAGTGGACATGAGTTATACACGGTTATTTTGATCTATTCCAACTTATTTTTCAAAAAATATAATGAATTATTCAACTATTTGAAAATTTCTTCTCAAAAAGCATGGATATTTTACAATTGTTAATTTAGAATTAATGAAGACCCTATTTTATGTCAATTTTTCACAAAAACATTCGATTTCCTTTCGAATAAATAAGCAAATTCAACGTTATATTAAGTCGATTTTATGATGTAACATGTACGCTTATCAACGCTCGGAGTTTTTTCCAACTTTGGGAGGAAAGCTATCCCCGCTTCCCGATAAATACTCCTGGTGAAATTATCTCCCATATAATTGATCGCAAATTTTAAATACAGGGCATTTAGAAATTTTAGCGCAACTTTGACCTTCAGAGCAAGCCAAGAATTAAGCAGGCCATGCTTATCTTTATGGCAGCTTAGATTAAAACATTCATTTGTTTAAAACAAGCTTATGTTAATATAATTCTTTTTGGCAACATTCGCCTTTTGTACTCGATCACTTTGGAAACCCTTTAGATTTCGGCATATAGGCTATGTTTACTTGAGTGAGAGGCTGATACCAACATTTTACAGTTTTAAATAGCTAGCAATTTATGGTAATGGCTAGATTATACCATTTTAGTTCAACTTGTAGTTGCAAAGCTTTGTTTATTCTGTCGCATTTATATTTAGATGAATTTTTTGTAGACTTGAGTGTTAGTCATCCAAGATAAAATTTTTACCAAGATTAAGCCAATACAATTTTACTATGGCTTTTTATACAGAAACCATGCCATTCCTCATAAAATAAGAATGCTTTTCAATGACAATGTTCAGGTCTTGCAATTGATTATAACGAATGATGACATAAGGAGTAAAATCTTCTTACGATAATGTGATCTTTATAATCTTTTTACACATTCCATGTGTTCACATAAGTATTACTCTTCCTTTCTCAGTTAATATTTTAGATTCTCTCTTATTCCTAAGTGCTATCCATTCTTGCATTTTAAGGTCACTTTTGTTATTTTTATCGTTAGAAAGCATCTAGCCCAGAACGTAATTACCCAAATAAATATGATTTATGCACAAATTGAAATCAGGATATTTAAACCGTCGTACGAAACAGTACGTGTTTCTGATTCATCATTTCATGTCTCAGTGTTTAAATCTGCCTAATGATCATCTCATTAATTTCACTACGACTAACGATTCCAAAACTATTTCCTTTCAAATAACAAATATCCTGATGGACAATAAAACTACTTCGATAGCCAAGCTAATATATAGATTATTTAAATTTGTCCCTCAAACTATTTAAACTTGAATTAGAGAATACTGAAATATTGAGAGTCAAATAAGCTAAGTTTGTGAGATATTTTCAAATTCTGCATTTTACTACATCATGCAGATTTAACCGGTTTTGTTGCAAACCTTTCCCGAGATTGAAAAGGTTTTATTAAATTTGTACTCAATGTCAATTATCACTAATCTCACCAACCAATGTCAGGATAAAGTAAGTACACTTGATTACTTTCTTTCAGTTTCAATTATTTTAATTCAATTAAAATGCAACGAAAGCTACAATAACTGAAGCTGATGCACTTTAAAACACGAGGAATAATTCGTTAATTAACTGATCGCGAGTGTATGTCAAGTAATTCCTGAAGTTACTGCATGTCTAATATCGCTGTCGTGGAGATTGCACAATAACATTCAAATGCTGCGAACGGTTTATTGGAATTTATCTAAAGGACATTAAATTCTGTGTAAATCTTATTTAAACTAACTATATCATTGTCCATTTCGTCTGGATACTTTCATTTTGCAAATAACTTGAGGGATAACACATAGTGCGCATAAAAGAAAAAAAATATTTACGTCGTAGGCCACCCAGAATATGTAAATTCTCCTGTCAACTCATGACATTTTGATGAAAGGAAATAGAAGTCCCTTAAGACGATGAGTCTAACTCACGCAAAGGAAACAGATGTCAAAATTTTGACTGGTATACGTTGAGTAATCTCTGTACAATAATTGTAATAGACTTGGATATACTTTTGCATTAAATTAACGAAAATTTCGAATCTACGGAAAAATGAAGCTTAGCAACAAGTAAATCACGTTAAAGTTGTTTACACTGTGTTAACCTATAATATTTGACGAGGATAGATTATCTTGCATTTTATTATATTATTCATCAAAATATAAACTTTTAATTAGGTTACAGATAAAAAGGCCAATCTTACCTGTTTCACTTGTCCCCAAAAGACAGTACAGTGAGCATATTTGCCAAATTGTTGCTGTTCCATATTCATCTATTTTTTCGTTTTAATCCCAAGAACAATAATGAGTTTGTGGGCATTGGTAATGCTCGAGAGGCATTTACAGAAAAATTTCAGGAGAGAAAGTGTAAGGAATAACTCACGTTTGTAGTCCTTTGTAGTCTCCTACCACAAAGTTAATGATTGTTGATCAAACCAAATGTTTACCTGAATAGGATATTTCCTTATCAGTTCTACAAAGATCTACAAATTAATAAAATAATTGAGGTCACAAGCAAAGTAGCTCGACTGTCCATTTGCTTCAACAATTTAAACACGTGAATATGGAAATAAGAAGAAAAAACTCAAGAAAGTAATAATAGTAAATTGCATCAGAGTTCATTTGCTAGGAGAAATTCTGTCAGAGCATTTATTTAGCTATTCAATCGTAATTGATGATAGCCTAAGTTAGATTGGGATTGCTATAAAAAGCCATGCGGGCACCTCAAATACCAAATGAATAAGTTCAATCGCTTTCACGGGTAGAGCATTACAGAGATTATTGGGAATCCAATTCCAATTCCAAACCAATTGGAGGTATGGATTGATGACTAAATTGAACCGAATCTTAAACACAATAACGCTATATTTGTTTACCATTGACATTTAATATGCAAGTGTTTAAAATATTGGAAGGATGTTCAGAAATGTATTAATGAACAATAAACCAATTTGAGGGTTATTTTTAACTTTATGCGAGCAGTTAATATATTTTGGTCCAAGTCCTTTCTTCCTCTGTCTTCCCATTTCCTGTTTTTTACTCAAATTTCAATTTGTTTGTTTGTAAAATTAGTAAAATTTCCAATGAATAGCTTCACAAAAGTTTATTTTATCACTCAAAATCAATTCGATTCAAGATTGCTCAGTTTTCTCCTACCCAATTCCTTAATTACATTGGCAAATATACGGGTGCTTAACATCTTATGTTCATTTTATTTGACTTAGCAACAATGCACCCAAACCCTCAAGCTCAAACTTGTTTCGGGCCCATTTGTCTATTATTGAGGAAAATTTGTTCCGAAAAATGTTGCAAGTTATTACCGCTTTTGCTCGGTTCCCTTCGGCAAATAAAAGAAATAATGCTAGACCACACACACGCAAGATTAACTGAAACAAAAGAGGCCGTGTTTTATCCCTGACTGGATTTCCATAAGCTCTTCTTTCCTAAAATGGAACAAAGTCATGAATTTAGCTGTAATTAAGACAGCGCTTTAAAGTTTCTACGGCTTTTGACTTAAAATATCATTAAGCATAATTTGAATAAAAGTCTTAATTTTGGAGAGTTTAAATGACAGCAAATGAACTAAATCTTCCATATTTAGAAAACTTATATTAGATAGTTAACGTCATTGCTAATCGAATGTTCGAAAAACGAATGAGCTTGCTAATTAAGGGAAATTAGTTGTGATCCAATCCCGATATCCAATGGATATATTAACCCTTTCAATCATATCAATTCGATTAAACAAAAGTAAGAGTAAAAAGAGGCCAATTCGCATGCTTCTATCTATTTTATGACCTAATATTCTGAGGTTCCAAGTTTTGAAATCCTCTCCCTCCTTATTGACTGGGAGAGTAGTTGTGTGCTATATCGACTTATTCATCTCTCATAATAATAACCAAGGGCCCGCATTTAATCGTACCTAAGGTGCTCCGGCGTATCAGAGGTTTCCAAGCATTCTCATTTCTAAAAAAAATCATTTAAACTGTATTTACTTTAAAGTAGATGGGTTCTTGTAAAACTTACTTTGTTCAATTTAACATTTTTTCAATCTGATTTGAAGCAGGTTTAAAATGAATTTCTCATATTTCAAGTGTGTACCTTTGAAAAATGTGTACTAGGTGTCAAATTTCCTTATGAGAGATGAGTTATCTGGTTCCCAATATTTTCACTACAATTGAATTAAATAATGTCTTAAATGGATGGAAATATTGGATTTAAAGAAAGTCCAAAGTAAAAACCATTTTCTGTTTGTCGATGCAGAGAAATATTATTTTGAGCTAATTTTAATAATTATGATTGACTTATTCATAAAAACAATTGGAGAATTGTTTGATTGGCCATTGTATAATACAAGGGCTCCAAGAGGCAATTTTAGTAAAAACATAAATCTTAACTAAAAGTAGAGATTAATACACGAAAACTTGTTTATACAATACTTATAAGTGCGAGAAGCAAGCAAACCCATCTCAAGTCCATTATTCTGTCATAACAAACAACTTTTGGGAAAGTACAAAAAGGACAAATTAAAGGGGGTGCGTCACTCCTCCTCCACCTCCTCCTCCTACTTCCAAAAATAGC